ACCTCGCCACGGGCAGCCATTATTAGGTCTGTACTGAAACGCTCTACATCACTCATGAAATTACGTATAGCTAACTGATAAGAAAATACGCTAATACCGAAGTGGGTGAATCGTTGCACGTTAGTGATATCCATAGATAAGGTATGTAACTGCTCCTCAATACTGGAGCATAAGGTGGAAAGTGATTTAACGTTCTTACTAATGTAATCTAATGCATGAACCGAAGAGTCAAATCTTGCAATGACGTTATGTAGGGATGACTTATAATCAGCAAGACGGCTGTTAAGGGTGTCTTCGTCAATGACACCAAAAAATGCGTGCGCAATATTTCCAATTGCATTGATAAGACCACGGCGAGAGCGTGAATGGTTGTTGGTAGTGAATTTACTCAAGTCATCTATTGTGGCATTCAGGATGTGAGTGAGAAGCTCTCTCTGTGTACCATTCAAAATCTTATCATGATATATGTATGATCTTAGCTCTTTGAGCTTGGCATGGTGAAATGTGGCAAGTGAAGAGAACTCTAATAAAGGGGTGAGTACTACAGTGATCTCTACATGATTAGTGACAGGGTAGGTTACACCAAGGTCCTCTATAATGGCGCCAGGGACGCTCCGTAGATTCGCGGGGAGATGGGCGCCACTAACAGCGAGAAGGGACAGGAAGAGGACGGGACTCATCTGCAAGCATAGAGGACCTGGAGTCAGGGTGAGGCACTGCAATCAGGGAACTGCTCTACAAAGTACTTATTAGCAAGCTTCAGCTGGTCAAAGTGGAGCCATGTCTGTGACTCATCCTTTAAACTCCTGCAAAGTGCCTTGTTATTGCGACACTGTAGTACCCTGTAGGGCCCATCGAAGATAGGGGCTAATTTGGGCATAGGAGAGTTTGTGGATTTTATGCTCCTAAAGACTAGTGCACCGACTTCAACTGCCTTAATCCTTGCTATCTTATGTTGGTTTGCAATTATCTTATCCCTGGATAAAGTCAACTTTTCCTTGGCTAACATAAAGGCTTTCTGTTGTCTGATAAGTAGTGTCTTGGCATAGTTGTCATCATAGTTGGGGTCTGGCTTTGCATCCAAGAGCTCGTAAGGAAGTCTTTTGTCCGTACCGAATAGCAGGAAATGAGGGATGTCACCGAGTGAAGAATGATAATTGCAGTTAATAGCTGATTGTACAATGGGTAAGTAGAGGTCCCAGTCATCATCATGGTCAGTAATCATAGTTCTCATTAAGTTTAAGATGGTCTTGTTCAGTCTCTCTGTAATACCATTGGCCTGAGGTCGGTATGGGAGGATATTAACTTTCTTGACATTCATTAAGCTGCATAACTGTGAGAGGATCTTATTACAGAATTCTGTTCCATTATCGCTGCTGAGCTGCTGGGGGGATTGGTATCTGCATATAATATTGTTATAGAAGGCTCTAGCAATGGTGTGAGCTGACTTGTCCGGTACAGGAACAAGCTCACAGTATCTGCTGAAGTTATCAATGAAAACTAGAATGTATTTGTTGCCCCTGGGGGATGGTATAAATCCTGAAAGGGTATCGCAAGATACCTTCTGGAAGGGGAAGTCAGGGATATCATACAATAATGCAGGAGCAGGCTGATGGGTTGAGCCCTTGTATAATGGGCAGACACGACAACTCTTAACATGTCGCAAAACTCTCTGGAACAAGCCGGGAAAGTAGAATCTTGATCTAGCACGCTGAATGGCTTTGGCAGCCCCAGCGTGAGCTGCCTCCAATGACTCATGGGAATACTTAAGAATGAGGGGGACAAGGCACTCAGGGACTACTAACTGTCTATAACTAATCTTTGTCTTCCTTCCTTTCCTCCTGGGCGTCGACAATCTAAAGAGAAGGCCAGACTCGTCCAGATAAAAATCCTTAACCGGAAGATGGGCTCTTGGGGGTAAAGGGGTACTGGGGTTAGCCTCTAGGCTTTTGATGATGTCCTTATACAAGCTGTCACTTCTCTGCTTTTCTTTTATGTCATTGATATCTAGAGCATCCAGGGGTGGGCAGTTATCAGAGAACAGGGAGTACACAGGTGCTCGAGATAAGGCATCTGCAACCTTATTGCAAGGGCCAGGGGTATACACAATCGAGGGGTTGAACTCTAGTAAGGTATCCAAATACCTGGCCAATCTACCATGAGGGTCCTTGCAAGACATGATATGGGTCAGTGGCTGATGGTCCGTTCTTACTTCTATATCATAGCCTAGAATTAATTCTCGAAAATGTTTGAGTGACCATATAATGCTTAGCAATTCCTTGTCAGATGTCGAATAACGCTTCTCGGCAATATTTAAGATTCGACTTGCAAAAGCAATGGGCTTTAGCTTTCCCTCGAATTCTTGCATGAGTGCAGAGCCAATGCCAACATTAGAGGCGTCAGTTGCTAATATGAAGGGCTTGGAAAAATCCGGGAATGCTAATACTGGCGACTTAATTAACTTAGATTTCAGGGATTGAAATGCAAAGTCCTGATCCTT